CTAAAATCGTAATTAACGACGTACATCGCGCGAGTAAAGGGTGGGACTAGCTATGACTAAACGCTGGGTTCCAAAGTTAGTATAAATATAAAATGAAAACGGCTAGACCAAATTGGCTGAAATTTTGTGAGGAAACCCATAGCTACCCTTGGGGTAACAAACGTCAAACATAGGCTAAAAATTCAATATTATTTTCAAAATTTGCATATTTACAAAGTATTTTTAAAATTCCGCAGGGGCAACGCGCCCGACACTTTAGCTAGTGGTTTATATACTCTCTCTGTAATCTATATGAACCCAACCCTTGCAAATATAAAAATGGTATTTACAATCCGAACTTTTCTGATCAAATATATACAAATATTAGAATATTTTTTGCAAAACATTCTCTAATTATAAAGTATCCAGTACATAAATATTTATTTTAAATTTGTCACGTTAAAGGCAATGTTTGCGAAAAATGAAAGGGATGTTTGGAAGAATCCTAATGAAAGGATTCAACTTCTACTAATTTTACTTCTGTCTGTATCGTCTATGGTCTTAATGGTCTTAAACGCTTAATGTTCCAGAGGGAATAATTTGCATTTTACCACTAAGCTGTAAATAATTTATATAACTAAAAACTATCCTTTAAATATTATTTTGATTTGATTCGGGCCATTCGAATGTATTTAACATATGATAATATGTTCTTTCTTCTTATTAACAGCGGTACCCTTTCAACCTTCGATTTTTTCATTATTATGCTTAAACAAACGTTTACAGGGTAACGTATACATTGGTTTAATAACTTTCCACTTCGAATGACGCCATCAGTCTCTTTAAGAATAAAGCCGAAAGAGATAATGTTGTGTGTAAAAGGGATAATGTTGTGTGTAAAAGAGATAATGTTGTGTGTAAAAGAGATAATGTTGTGTGTAAAAGAGATAATGTTGTGTTTAAAAGCCTAAAAGGATTTACTAAACTACGATAAAGTACTGATAGGCTTGAATTTAGGCGCAGAATATAAAAAGTCTCTTCTTTCTTGGAAGGGGGTAGGGGGGTAAGTGGGAATTAAAGGGGAGGAGGGGAGGGGAAAGAAGGAGTTAACCCCAATGTTTATATATACTTTGAAGTTTAAATAATGTCATAAATATGTGCAAAATAAATAAAAATAGTTTACACCTCGGATCAAACCTTTATACTAAGTATAGGACAAAACAGATTGTGACAAGATTCCAAAAAGAAAGGAGGAGGGGGGGGGGGTATTCAACTAAATTAGAAAACTTTCCCTTTAATCCTTTAATCGCGATAATTCCTTTAATCCCTTTTAACAATGAATACTCCTTATATATTGAATGTTTTCTAAGGATTGGATCCAAATATCCGACTTTTCATTTGAAAATTAGAAAATATCACCCTGTTATCAGATGTATGAGATGGGATAAAGGTACTTTCGGAAGTAATACATGGAGTAAGCAAACTTGGACCTAACAAAACATGGAGTAAGCAAACATAAACCCAACAAAACATGGAGTAAGCAAACTTGGACCTGACAAAACTCCAACAAAACATGGATTAAGCAACATGGACCTAACAAAACATAAAGTAAGCAAACATGGACCTGAAAAATCATGGAGTTAGCAACATGGACCCAACAAAACATGGAGTAAGCAACATGGACCTAACAAAACTTGAAGTAAGCAAACATGGACCTGACAAAACATAGTGTAAGCAAACATGGACCCAACAAAACATGGAGTAACAAACATGGACCCAACAAAACATGGAGTAAGCAAACATGGACCCAACAAAACATAGAGTAAACACTTGGCTTTAAATCAACACTCAACATGAACTAAAGAAAACATAAACTAATGCAAACATGGAATAAAGAAAAAAACAAACTAATAAAAACATAGACTAAAGAAACAAACTAATAAAAACATGGACTAAAGAAAAAGAAACTAATAAAAACATAGACTAAAGAAAACACAAAAAAATAAAAACATGGACTAAAGAAAATATGGACAAAAAACAAGGACTAAAGAAAACACAAACTAATAAAAGATGGATTAAAAAAACATGGAATATCAAATCAAAAGAAATCATAGACTAAAAAAACATAAACTATTAAAGACATAAAATTAAGAAAACATTTAATAATAGAAATATCAATTACAGAAAAGTATGAGCGTGTTAGCGACAATTAAAAATTTTAAATTTTGGATTTTGGAATCTTGGAAACTTATGAATAAGTAATCTTCAGCATTTAATGTAACCCCCTTTTTCCTATATTTCCTAAAATAAATGGAGTGGAAAAATGGAAACTGCAAAATGCAAGAATTTTGATTCCTGCATAAAAATAAATGTACTTTTTCAGATAAAAAGTAAAGAAAAAAGTTTTCTTTGATAGAATATTTGATAGACTGTTAGATAAATCCTTAACAATTTGTTCAGAATAGTGAATAACTGAAAGATGTTGAGATGACGAACATTGAGTTAGAATTAAACATAGCAATAGGGGTATTTAACAAATTTTTAGCTTAACATAAAAACGTTTTCATATTCTATCAAACTTTTCGTAATATTTTCGTTTATTCGATCTAGTTCCCACAATGTATAAAATGAATATAGAATGATAATCACTATAAAAGGTCCCCCTGGGCCTGTATCCTGCATAAACCAACTGCAAGGGTTTCTAGTAATTGAAAATCAACCAATCCACCAGACATCAACCATCCAACCATCCTACAACTGCAATTAGAAAATTAACCTGAACCAACGAACCAAAATATTCTACACAAATTACATATCAAATAGATAGTACTGACCAAGGAAATAATGCAAGGAAAGTTATTTCAGAGGTGTACATATTTTTTGTGCTGCAGTGTACTGTCCTTGGGCGGAAAAGTAAACGCAAGACGGATGTCACACCCTGACATGGAATACATTGTCACCAAAATAATCTATGAAATATTCTGGTTATAGGAAACTATTATGTGAATTTTCAAAATTATCAAAATTAAATTTTTCAACTTCTCGGACTAACGAACACTGATGCATCTATTCTTGTTTACAAATTCCGCCCAGAGAGAACTGGTTTCAATATGTACGCAGAGTATACGCGACCGCAATTAGCTTTCCTTGCATTAGTACCTTGGTACTGACTACTGGATAACCAGGGATATATAAAATTATAAAATTAAAGAAATTGTAAAAACATTAAAACATCTTTAGCAAAGGACTTATAAGGATGAATTATAAACATGGAAAGAAAGACAAAATAAATGAGTAAATATATCAGAATATAGCTAGGTATTTGGTTCTAAATATACCAGAATATAGCTAGGTATAGTTGGTTCTAAATATACCAGAATATAGCTAGGTAGTTGGTTCTAAATATACAAGAATATAGCTAGGTAGTTAGTTCTAAATATACTTGAATATTGCTAGAAAGTTGGTTCTAAATATACCAGAGTATAGCTAGGTAGTTGGTTCTAAATATACCAGAATATAGCTAGGAAGTTTGTTCTAAATATACCAGAGTATAGCTAGGTAGTTGGTTCTGAATATACCAGAATATAGCTAGGTAGTTGGTTCTAAATATACCAGAATATAGCTAGGTAGTTGGTTCTAAATATACAAGAATATGCCTAGGTAGTTGGTTCTAAATATTCCAGAATATAGCTAGGTAGGTGGTTCTAATATACCAGAATATAGCTAGGAAGTTGGTTCTAAATATACCAGAATATAGCTAGGAAGTTGGTTCTAAATATACCAGAATATAGCTAGGAAGTTTGATCTAAATGTACCAGAGTAAAGCTAGGTAGTTGGTTCTAAATATACCAGAATATAGCTAGGTATTTGGTTCTAAATATACCAGAATATATCTAGGTAGGTGGTTCTAAATATACCAGAATACAGCTGGGTAGTTGGTTCTAAATATGCCAGAATAGAGCGCGGTATAAGCTGGTTCTAAATATACCAGAATTAACTATACAGCTGGTTCTAAATATACCAAAACTAACTATGTTGCTGGTTCTAAATATACCAATATTAACTATGTTGCTGGTTCTGAATATACCAAATTTAACTATATAGCTGTTTCTAAATATACCAGAATTAACTATGTAGCTGGTTCTAAATATACCAGAATTAACTATGTTGCTGGTTCTGAATATACCAAATTTAACTATATAGCTGTTTCTAAATATACCAGAATTAACTATGTAGCTGGTTCTAAATATACCAGAATTAACTATGTAGGTGGTTCTTAATATACCAGAATTAACTATGTAGCTGGTTCTAAATATACCAGAATTAACTATGTAGATGGTTCTTAATATAACAGATTAAAGCTATTTCCTACAGGTAAAAGTCCAAGTCCACGTGGCTCTTCATTTTTGCTCTAATACTCCGTAATCATAACTTTAAGCAAGAAATTTTAAAATGTATAAAAATATGAAAATTCTATATTAAAGCTGAACTTCATTCCAAAAGAAATCATTGGAAAAGAAAAGATTTCTGACGTTTTGAGATTTCATCTCTTTCTAGCAGACCAGATGTTACCAAGCTTTGAATTATTGGTTTTATTTTTTGCAAAATAATAAAATATGATTTTCTAAATTTAAAATAATACATATGCATTGTCATAAAGTAATTGGTATGTTTAATGTGTGTCTATAAAACCGGAATTTTATCCCTTACTTAGCATAATTATTACATGCAAAAATGGCTCTTTAAGCTTTAGAAATATCGCTTAATTCTTCTAATAAAACATGGACTAAACCACACGGAGCAGGAGGGGGGAGAGGAGGGTGTGTGGGGTGGGGGTGTAGGTAAGTGGAAACTGCTGTGCTGAGATTACCAATAGTAATGGTTTGGGGATTTTATTGAGTTCTGTATAAAAGAGATATTTCTTGAAATCATGAACTGCAAAGTGAGGTTCTATCCGCAATATCTTGAAGATTAATACATCGTTATTCTGTCTGGTTCAACTTCATTCTATAATATCTTACCTTGAGCAATTGAAAGATCTAGTCTAGCCTTCAGATTTAGTATGACGGTTCAACATGATTCAGACGAATCGTTAATAATGCTTCAAGTCTGAGGATATCAAACTTTTTTGCTCTTCACTTTATCATAATTGTAAATACCAGGATGAAAGTTTGTATTGTTTACTATACACACATATTAGTGTAAAGATACTCTGGTTTATTGTATGTTGTTAGTATACACTGTATGTACAGTGTACACTAGACACCGGAAACTTGGGTAATTTGGCAGATTTCTCAATTTGCGCGGGAAAATCTGGTGTGTGTACTGTGTATAGTATGGACTAGGTTGAGAATAAGACTGAGGCCTCCAAATACAGCGCTACTCGTCCTCTACTCCACCGTTATATCCTCTATCCTCTGCGGTTAAACAACTGGGATAAGATTGAAGAAACCCTCCGAAGTAGATCTATCCAGATCTATGGATATGGCTGCAGACATGGCGTAGAGATTAAGGTTGTCAATATGGATTCTAGCGCAACATTTCCTACCCCTAGGAGTTGTAATTTAAACCATCGAGAGGATCTGTTTCTATCAAACCTTGTTTTTTGATAATCTCAAACTTTAAAAAATCCTCTACTTGAGCAAATATATATAACGATAAAAAAAAAATTTTTTAATCTTTTTGAAAGGTTGCAGATTAAGATGTTCTAGAAAATAACTGTTTAAGCAAAAGATATCCCAAAAAAAGAAAATGTAAAAAGTAAAAAATAAAGAAAGAAGGAAAAAAGGGAGGTAAAATTTGTATAAAATCTAGATTTTGTTACCGATAATATGTGAAAGGGATTTTTTTCTTCAAATTAAAGAAAAATTGAGTGTTTTCTGAATTTTAGTTTTCACGTTTGAGCTTTTCTTGATCTTTACAGGCATTTACTTTCTTTACTTTCCCTGTATTTAACATTAGTATTGGGTGATTAAAAATGTTCATTAATTTTATAGTTTAAATCAAATCTCTATATCTTTTTAACTTTTTTGTTTTGACCCTTTTTGAGTTTTTCAGGTCAAACAATTTGTGGGCCTGCGGCGCGCCCCTTATTCACATATCTCTGTGATTTTTCTTGTTCTAGTTCTCCGTGAATGGATATTTATTGTTCTAGTTCACCGTAAATGGATAGTTCTTGTTCTAGTTCACCGTGAATGGATAGTTCTTGTTCTAGTTCTCCGTGAATGGATAGAAATTTTAAGTGGAATATCTTATTAACAGTACCCTTCAACACTTTGTCTCAATTTGAATGAGATTTCCATGTTAAATTTTTTAAAATTCATTATTTTCAATTGCGGTTTCTCTACATAAGTGAATTGCGCATTTCTGCTTCTTAAAGAATGGAGAATTTATCAAAATTTAACATATTTCAAGAAAGTGAGGATTTGTTCAACATTACAGATAAGATTAAGGCTTTTAAGTTCCCTGTTGTGAATCAGACATAGTTCTCTTTAAATTTAGGGTCGCTTAAAGTCAACTACGTGTTCTCTGAGATCTTATAAAATGGAGAACTCGTTAAACCATGCGAGTTTCTTTTATCTTTGAACATTTTACGTTAACTGTTATGGGGAAAACTTATATTCCAGACAAAGCTGAGTGCCCAGGCAGGGCCAAGCTAGTATATTTTATGTTTATAAACATAGTATATACGACTATAATAAAATGTATAAAATACAATTCTTCGTCAATAAATTACTCTTCTCTGCTGCCCTCAATGTCCCAATTATTTCCGTCT